GAAAATTCTTCTGATGTTGTATTTATATATGTTAGCTCCTTAAGGATTTATTCTACAATACCCTGAGCTTTTACTTCAAAATACCTCTCTGCTGTTGTAGGTTTTTCATACAGGACAATGTAAGGGAATAATACTTGTAAAATAAGGGAATAATACAGGACAATGTAAGGGAATAATACTTGTAAAAGTATCAGTCAGATTTATTGTACTCTGTAAGTATATGAAGTGATAGATTTGGTTTTGCTTAATAACTGCTTGCACTGTTACTGAAGACCTGGATCAGATGAAATCAGTCTCAAGTGTGTACAGATCACCTGTGCATCTAGTGCATAGTACTTGGGAAAAGGAGGAAGGCAGACAGCAGCAGTTCCTCCTTCTTTGCTGTAGGGCAAATGATCAAGTAAATTGTTTGGTGTTGGTGTTCTGGAGCTGAGGAGAGAGAGAACGTGAAAGTGGTGAAAACCCCATGCAAGGTGATAATATCAGTGAGCCAGGATATAACCTGTTGTACTGAAAGGAAAATCAATTACGCTTATTCTCAGGGTGTGTTTTACATTGCATATGAGGAGATAGCACCAAAGGGCTCTTAGGTACAAACAAGAACATTGTCACATCACACACACACACACAGACACAGACACACACACAAAATTTGCAGTGTCAGACATACAAAACTGCTGTATTGTTTTTGGACTGGCAGCATGCAGTGTGATATTCCATGCTCAGTGTGCCTTCCAGTACAAATTGATTGGCAGTTCTTTTGGTAGAGAAGGTGGAGAGTGAAGCTGGTTCAAAAGAGGGGCAAGGGAGTCCTGCCTGCAGGCTGAGAGTGGCTACCAGTGTATTTGCTGTTGGGAAATCCCACACTGTGCTGTGAAAGCAGTAGGCAGGTTTAGATACAGCAACTCCCTTAAGCCTGAACTGGCCTTTTTTCAAATGTAAAATTTATTTTCACATCATGTAATATGATAATGATAAGTTCACATGAAGGCCTTCCCACTGAAAATAAAACCCTCAAACCGTGCTTATTATGCTCTCTGTGTAGTCTTTTTCTTCTTAGCTGTTTACACCACCCAGTTGTGGTGAAGTATCTTGAGATGCCTTTGCCTGACAGCTATGCAGATAATTAAATTGGCCTGAAGGGTTTCTAGGTAATTATCTTTATGCAGCTCAATTTATCTGCAAGTCATGTGAGAGTGATACTTGGAATCTAGCTTTGTTGTGCCATTGATTGGATTCTGAACTGGTATTTTTGGGATTGACTCAAGTGGGTTGTATCTCTTACTGGAAGTTAGAGACTCAGGTGCCTCTCCGCAGGCCTACTTGTTTGCTTTGGGGTGTAGTGAAAAAGAACTTGCTTATTTTCCCGAGAGTAATTTGGCTGCTTTGAGATTTAGTAATGGTGTATTTTTTCTTGGTGCCTTTCAGCTTGTACCTCCTTTTAAACCTCAAGTGACATCTGAGACAGACACCAGGTATTTTGATGAAGAATTTACAGCTCAGACTATTACAATAACACCGCCTGAAAAATGTAAGTCAGAAATGATGCATAAGCATGATGTAACAATAATGTTTCTAATAAAGCAGTGTGTCAGGTTTTTTTCTGTTTGAATAGAAAAGCTGTTCTCAGTGTTACTAATAAAAGTCTTCGTACTCTGGATGACAGCTTTATTTTGAAGATGCAGTAATTACAAAGCTTAGAATATTAGATCACTCTGAGTTGGGTTTTGGGGTTTTTTTAGGTGTGGGAATTTTTGTGTTGATTTTGTTTGGAGTTTTTAAAAATTTGTTTATTGATTTGGGGTTTTGTTTGTTTGTTTTTAAATAAAAGAAGACACTGGCTTCAAGTGGCAGTCAAGGTCCCAGTTCAGCAAAGTAATTAGAACATGGACGTTTCTTTAAGCATGTGGACAGTGCTGGTGTTTTCAGTGGGCTGTGTAGCTTTAGTAAGATGGACACATTTTGAAATACTTTGAACACAATGATTTGAAAAAATCAATTACGTGAAATTAAATATCCTATCAAGTCCTGTGCTTCAACAGAGCTCTTAAAGAAGGTGTTAGTGTGGATGTAACCATGGCATTGGACCTTGCAAAGTTTCTTTATTGGAGTGAATGTGATTTCACCATGGTTTGTGTTTTTGTCATGTTGTGTTACACACAAGAATCATGATCTGATCAGCCTAACCAGGGCTTTACAGTTACTTATCAAGCCAGAGCAGTTAAAATCTTTCATCTGAGTTCTTAAAGAATTTTCTTTCTAAATGGGGATATTTTTGGGTTTTGTTTGTTTCTTTATATTGGAGGCTGAGAAAGGAGGATCACAAAAGTAAAGGCATAGTTATGGTTGCTTAACCTTTCAAAAGGAATTTTATTTTCTCATGTTTTAGGACTCTCAGGTTAGCTGCAGTTTTCTGTTCAAGTATAGATCTAGAGTATTTTTTTGATTTTGCATTTTTAGTGTCTGAACACAATCACAGAAACATAGAGTGGTTTGAATTGGAAGGGACCTTAAAGTTCATCTGATTCCAATCATCCTGCCTTGGGCAGGGGAACCTTCCACTAGACCATGTTGCTCACAGTCCATAATTTAAGTGATTTTAAGTCTTTCTGCTGGTAAAAAAGAACCCTTTCTTCTCCTCTCTATCTTGATAAGAATTTGTTCATCTTTGTAACTTGAACAAATTTTACTAATATTTGGATTAACTTGGGTTCTGTTGATTGCATATTAGACCAGGATTAACTCTGGTTTTTATGTGTAGAATATAGAAGACAAAATTCTGAAAGGCTGCATATAAATACACTGTTAGAATAACAGTCTCAGCAGGAGTCTTTAAGAATAAGCACTGTTAAAAAGCCATGTAAGAATGTACATCCAAATTCTCAGAGTTAGGTAACATCTGGTGCCTGCTTTCCATTGGTGCTGGAGGAATTATGTAAATAAAAATATTTATTAATTTGGCTTATTCTGTATTTCTTCTGATCCCAGTAAATACTATAAAAATAAATAGTTTACTAAAAATAATAGCTAAGAATTGAAACACATAGAACATGTGTGAAATGTTCATTTTGTAGCTGTTTTTCCTTTTAACTCCCTTTGAAATGGAGGAATATTTAAGTATAGCTACACTAAGACTATAATTTCCTGAGCTCAGCTCAAGAAATTATGGAAACTGGCTGACTCAATTGGCACTCGGCTTCAGCACTGCCAGAGGCTGGGTGTGCTGGCATGTTTGGATTAGCCTACAAGGGGTAGTTGTGATTGAAGTTCTCAGGTGACAGTCAGAATAAAATGAACCAAACAATCAACCTGAAATAAATAGTGACTTCTGGGCATGCAGTCCTTTCAGTGAGTATCATCCTGCTGTGTGAACTAACTGGTCTTACTTTAACTTGAGCCTTTAACCTTTGCATTGAACCCTGAAAGATGTGCTGCATATCAGGTGAATAATAAAATTTTATTGCAAATGTACTGATGTTTTGAACTTCTTCCTTAACGCAGATGATGAGGATGGTATGGACTGCATGGACAATGAGAGGCGGCCGCATTTCCCCCAATTTTCCTACTCTGCAAGTGGACGAGAGTAACTTTTTTGTTCTGCTGCTTCACTGTCATCTTAGGTTTATCAGTGAAAATGATTCCTGAACATCACCACCAGTACTAGATACTACTAAGATAGCAGGGGCACTTTCAGAGACCATTCCAAATTGAACAAGTTTCTTTCCCAAACCTCCCTAAAATCCATTCTGGTTTTGCATGACATATGAGATTCTCTCTACTCCGCTCTCCTGCTGTTGCTGCTGCCCACAGCCTCAGTATAATAGCAACGTCAAGAAGTTACTAACAGTTTCTTTGAAGGTAAATGACTTGACTTCAGCATTGTACACTTTGTGAACAAGTAGTCATCTATTTTTCCTCACAGTGGAGGCTAAACCAAAGCCCTGTCGGTCCAGCTTATCTTCTTCCAGAAGATGAATCAAAATTGTAATTAGTTTAAACAGACTAGGTGATAACATTTTCTTGCATCTGTTTGTGCTGGTTAGAATGAGGAAATGTAGAGGTGGTGATGTACATATGCAAGGTTTCTGTTAGGCATATCATTACTTGAAGCAGGTCTCTGTCATTAACATCTGGCTGGAATTTGTTTGGGAAATGTTTGAGAGAAGGACTTAAATTGTTGATATATATAAATATATATATATATATTATTTTTTAATTACTGTTGGATACTACAGAAGAAGCAGAAGGGCTGGGCTCACCCAGCCTGCCACTTAGAACTTCCAGGTTCATGTGCAATCATGGAGAATTGGACATTATACATGCAAGAAATGAAGGCATAAAAGCAGCAGTTGAAGTTGTTCAAGGGGTTTTATAATTTGCACCAGATAACATCTTTTTCATGCTTTTCTCTTTCATGATATGCATCACCTCTGATGGCTGAAGAATGTAGACAGGCATAATGGTATTGCTTTTCACCAAAATGTGTGCACCAAGGTAAACAGGTGTTTGCCTTACTTGTTTTTGATTTTGTGAATTAGCTTCCTCTCCAGGTGTTTAACTCCAATTTTTTTTTTTTTTTTTTTTTTTTGGTTATACTGCGGTAGTATTTATTTTTAGAGATAAGGTTTGTATATGTCATGTTTGCAAATGCTGCTACATCTTAGAACAGGCTTATAGCAGTTAATTTTGTAATATATGGAAGGACTGTACAAGCTGAAGGGAATTATGCACTTTTTTCCCATGTGGAAATTTTAACAAGGCTCTGAAATTGTACATACTGCTTAGAACCAGATTTTTGTGAATGAAATACTGTCTTTTAACAGTTTGGCAGTGGAGGTGGGGATTTCCAACCTCATGTGCCAAAGGGTTAAAAGTGAACAGACAAAAAAGCTACATCTTGTGCTCAATTTAGGATAAACATAATGTAAGAGCCTGACAGCACAAGAGAAAATGTCTGTTCTATATGAAGGAATTGCATTTGAACAACAAGACCACAGTGATTACAAGAAAAGCACTTTATTTTAACAATTAAAATAGTAAATTTCTGGGATCAGCCGTTCTCAAGGAAGATTTGCCCTCAGCCAAAAGAGTCCTGAAACCCAGGAGGTTATGTGTAACCGTGGTACCTGATTGACTGAATTTCAAACATCACAATAAACGCTCCACTGGTAGGGAAACGTCTTTCCATTTCCGAAGATCTGTATCTAACAGAACATGTGCATAAACTTTAGCTTTGATCTTCAGCAATGATAATCTTAATAATAAACCCTTTGGTGCTAGGAGTTGGGGAGTGACGCGGCACAGCGACAGAGCGCGCACACCCCTGCAGGCGACATCGGGAACCCCCGACTCCGTGGGATTATCATTGGAAGTATCTCTGCGTTCAGCTCTTGTTAGCTCCCACAAAGACTGTGATATTGCAGAGTATTCCTGGTTGCGTTGTGTGAGTGAGTAGATGAGTCTGAGAGATGTTCCTACACAGATGCCTTAGCCTCTTGATGTGGAAAGTTGAGTGCCCAAGCATGAAGCCCACTGCTGGCAGTGCATGTGCTGGGATGGTCAAGGGGTAGCTGGGCATTTTAGCAAGGCAGCTAAAGACGCAGAGTAATTTAGACAATTTTTCATGTTTCATGTTTTATCTTTAGTAATGGATGGATAATCAGATAGAAATATATCATGATGTATACTCTAACTGCATAGGATTTCATTATGTCACCCTGTAACACTAAAGATGTGTAGATGTTGTCCCTGTGCGGAGAGAGAGGAGAGCAGCAAATGCGTTGCAGGTCTGTCCTGGACTGGTGGTGTAGAGCTGTCTACACTGACACAGTGAGTGAGTGACTGAAATAACCAAGTACTTAACAGACGGGCATTAATTAGTTCTCTGCAAAGGTCTTGTACTCACAGACTATGGTGATTCAAAATCTGTGTTACATGTCTGTGTATTCTCCCCTATGTTTTCAGCTTGTAATAGCAATAAGTTTCTTGGCACAGGCCACCTCCAGCCAAGTGGCCAACTGGCTGTGTGTGGCACTGGCCAGCAGCTCCTCGTGTCAGTGACACCTTGTGCTTTTCTCTCCGTTGTGTGGCCAGGTAGTGTGCGGTTTGCAGGAGAGACCTGGCAGTGAACTATTTGTAAACCTTTTAAGACATCACTTTGCATTGCATTGTCTGCCTTCTGAAACGTCAGAGATCCAGTTTATGATGCAGAGTCAGCAGCCACCTTTCGCTGCCCAGGCCTAGGGGATTTTGTCTTACCAGTGTTAGAAACAGATGACAGAGAAATGGACAAGAAGTGCTGAGACAAACTTTTGAAGCTCTTTTGCTGTCTGCGGTTGTGGTTGGATTTGGACAGGAGGTGGTGGCTGGTTGTCTTGGTGAGCCTTTTGAGCACAGTACATTTCAGACCTTTACTCCAGCTTGTACTGACTTCCATGACATACAGTATGCCCTCTTGTACTGCAGCCATCTCAGAGGAAGTAGGTCAATTCTGTTTGGATTTTGGCAGTTTTGCACACAGCTTCGCTTTCCACACTAATCCATCTTCCAGTACATTCCTGTTGCTTAAAAAACATTTATTCCAGTATTGTTTCACCTTTTTTTTTCCATCTTTACTTGCGGCTTCTTAAAGCTGACTGTTCTTGCAGGGGCCATGTGCTTCTCCTAGAGTACAAAAGTAAGGTCTTTCCTTACTAACTGCAGGGTCTATATATTACACCTCAATGTACACACTTTGCTGCTACTGTTTGTACTGTCTACAGTAGAATTTCCTTATCTTGCTCCTGGTAGTGCATTACAGGCAAGCATGAAATGTAAAGTATTTATTTAAATAAAAACCTCTAAATTGGTAATTGAATTACCTCCCTGTAGCTTTAGAGTTTGTGACATTTCTTGACCTTGCTAGTTCTTTCATTAGATCCATGCAAGATCTAGTCATATGGTTAAGGATATTAAGCAGACACGACTACGAACCCAAGAAACCGTATTACTGTTGGTCATACTTAAACTGTTTATTTCCTTAAGTATATGACCCACAAGGATGTGAAATAACTACAAGAAACTGTTTTTGTACACTGTACATCCTTAGTATTTTTACACGTATATGATAGGGATGCACATTATTTTCCTTCGTACAGACAGCTTAAATAAAGCACTATGTCAATCTGCTACTTCTGTGTTTTTTAATGCTAATTTGTTCTGGAGGATTGTAAATATATATATATATATATGTTCAAGCTTGCCACAGAGGACGTATTTTTTTATATCTGCACATTACTATTAAATATCTTAGAGGATAAAATTCTTAAGTTGTCCTGTGTCAGAGAAAGAAAAATGGAAATGAGAAGGCTATATTGCAGATTACGAAAGATTTCTCAAGTTTTGGGTTAAATATTTACTTCATATTTTAAAGTAATTTTATATAGGTTAGATGTTTCAATCCTGAAATGCACAAAGAATTTACTTAATTTCTTCTTACAAGAAAATGTACATCATTATTTTTTTATCACTGTATATATAATGATCTGTGCATGTTTAGTTACAAGTTTTATTTGCTGTGAAGTCCTAGTGATAACTGTAACTCGCTGTGACATATTTCAGATACTGGGTGAACAGTTTCAGCTTGTAAATGATTAAGTTACAGTATTGTCAAAAAAAAAAAGTTTTTATGACTAAGCAAAATGTATCTGTGCTTTGGACCGAGGCTGTTTCCATACAGGTGGTTCCTGTTAACTCTGTGAGATGTATGTCACTTATAAAAGTAAATTTGGGTTATACTTTTGAAGATATGCTCCTATCAGAACATCCACCATTTAAGTGATTTTCATCTGATTAAATTCTTGGCCTCATATCCCACAGCTAGATGATGTTTGGGGAAGGAGACAGAAGAAAGGGAAGGTGGGATTTGCAGGGCACTGGAGAGTGGGACTCTTTGAAGCCCACGGGCTGGTCCAGGGCTATTTGAACCAGGCAGTCTGGAGGGCTGAGTGTCCCTAAAGCAGTGGGTCTGATGGGTTTTCTGTTGTCTGACGTGAATGCTTCTCAGGAATAGAGGTGCTTCATCTAGGTCTCAGGTTTTTTCCTTTCTTTTTTCCCTCCTTTTTTTTCCTCCCCGACCTTGTAATAGGAAAGAGCATCAGGGAGACAGCCATCCATTAGTTCAGTGATATCAGGATGTCAGTGACCAGGACAAAACTGCAGCAGTGACAGGACTGTCTGGTCAGGCTGCATCCCATGTTGTGGAATCACGCTCTGTGTGCTGACCTGGATTTGATCATCGGGTCTGATACTTGTAGAATTTGTAAAACCAAGATTATAGTGCTTAAGTAGAAGCAGGGGAAGGTGGGGAGGGATATGAGACAGGTAGGCCTGGTGCTGTAATGACTTATTAATTGCTACAAAGCAGAGTAACTGCTGCAGGAGAAGTTATTCCTGGTGGACTCCCAGCAAAACATTAGTTGCACCTATGCCTGGGATGAGTATGAAAAACCTGCTTCGAGCTATATATACTGGCAGCCCAGGACCCTTTGAAATCAGACTCATACATGCACGTGGGTGGCTGGCAGTGGGGCCCTCCATGTGGCCACCAGAAGCCACCTGGTAGGTGAGGCAAGTCCAGAAAGGTTGAGGGTCCCGGTGTGCTCCAGGGTCTCAGTGAAGCCTAAGTGCCAGGAATAGGTGCCCGAGTTGCTTTGCACACGTAGCCTATAGGCACTGTCTCCTATTAAAACACAGATTTATGCTGTGGAATAATAGAAAAAGTTTGCATTTCCTACATTTATAAATGTATATTCTTAACTGTGTAACCATCTATAAAGTAAAAAGCTATAAAGTAAAAACGTAACCATCTATAAAGTACTTAAAAAGCTGTCAGCCTGACTACTGTGAAAAATCCTGAGTTTGACTAGAGAGGGCTTTCCTTCAGCAGCCTTTCTTCTTAAAGACCTGAGGCCTCTCTTAGCACGCTCAGTGTCATATCTGTGAAGCTGTTCATGGAGGTGATCAGATGTGTTTGGCAGTTTTATATGGCAGGAAATTGAAATAGGGAGGAAAAATCACTTTGATGTTAGGGCTGTACCACTAATAATTCTTAAAATATAAGGGAAGGAAGGATTGTGTTCCACACCCAATGGTAATTTATTGCATGTGTTGTTACTCTTATTTTTGTTATGTTTTCTGTGTTCATGCTGGCTGAAGTAGCTTTATTGCTGCGGAACTGTTCTTTGCGCTTTTTTCACCCCCTTTACCAACTACATTGAAAAAAGTAGATGTAGAAACTTTTCTCATGTGTGTGTAGCTTATCCTACACTAGATAGCAAAATATTCAGATAAATTATTTCTAAAACAGTTGGGTATATGAAAAGTAACCTTGCACAACATGATTGCATAGTTAACCAGAAAAAAAGCCCTCCACCTGTACCCTCCAAATATTCTGAGTTCAATAATTTGAAGCAAGTTCAGCTGGTGCCCTGAATATGTGCTGGTGCAAAAGTCCAGATTCACCACTTCAGTGTGGAGCCCATCACCTCCTGTAATGGCTCCTCTGTAATAATCAAGGGCTCTTTTCTCTTAAAGGCCTTGTTCAGTGAATGTTTTAAAGGGGAACCTGACCCATAGAAATTCCTCCACATTCGGTGGAATATTTCTCAATCTTCTTACACTTTTCTGATTAGTAAATAGTTGTCGGGACTCACTTTTTATATAGAAGTGACAAATATCCTGTTGAATAAAGTTCCCAGGTATATTCTGGTACTGAGTTTGTAAAAAGGAGGGCAGTGTACATGTGCAGCACTTGCAAATAGCCCTCTTCTCCCTCCTTCCCCTGCACATGCTTTCCCTTGAATTCAGAAGAACAGAACAAGGAACCTAGAGAACCTATTAGGTTTATTGATATTTCAGTCTGTAAATAATACAGAAATGTATGTTCAATTATGAAAATAGATAAAAACATTTTATAAACATTGTACAAATTATTGACATCCACACCACATAATAGCTGTTAAAACTGGCTTGCAAGCCTGGTCTTTTCAGAAAAGTCTCAGCTGTCGTCCTAGAAAGTTTGGTAGGCTGGTAAGGCTTCAAAATATTTGTGATTCTGTAGTTAAAACCAAATAGAAACCAGCTGAAATTAGCTAGCAAGTGTGCCTGTTTTCTGCAGAGGTGTCTTTGGGTGAGCCTCAGACAAGTTTCAGCCAGGTGCAGAGCAGACCTGAAAGATAAAAGGAAGAGATGGGTAGTCTGTATGGCAGTGCCTGTGTTTCTCATTTGTGTCACGTCAGCCTGCAGGCAAGTTCTTAGAAGAGAAATAAAAACTGGTTAAGACTGCAGTAAGGCAGAGTAAACAAGTACAGTTTCAAAGCCTGCACTTCCTGTGGGCCTGCTGGCCTCACCTCTTTCTAAGCTCAGAAGTCTTACAGGTAGCAAGAACAAGAGATACCTGATTTCTGAAAAACAGGATCCCCATGAGCTTTTGACATGGTTCCTGTTTAGCAGTAAATAAGTAAGCTCTTGTTTTGGGGCACGTCTAAGATCCTGCCCCTTCTCCCTTCCAAGAAGAAGATGGCAGGGTTTTGCCAGAGGGTGTTTACTGTGCAGTGTTCAGCGTGTGTCTGGGATGGGCAGCTGTAGCAAAACAGGAAACTGTTGCCTTGGTGCCAGTAGGAAACCTCTGGTGGGAAGGCTAATTCGCAGTTTTGAAGCTCTTGCATAGCTGTTGTTTGTGCTTCCTCGGTAGCACTTAAGGACTGAATTGAGCAAGACATCAAACTATTGGAGCTGGGGGAGCTACCTCGAATTAAGCCACTGCAGTACTAAAAATTGAATTTAAGAGATGTACATGACCTCAGAAATAAAAATAAACTTTCTACTTTGGCTGGTTTTGCATTAGAAGACTGAAGGGTTTGGTTTTTTTTTCCTTCCCCCCTTGGGTTGGTTAGGCTGAATTAAAGAAAATTCACGAAGCTGCAGTTCATTAAAGAATGAAAAACAGTAATATGGTGTTTTTTTTCTCCAAAATACACGCACCAACATCAACTGCTACCGTTGTGTTTGCGACCAGTGGAACTATGGCAATGGAAAGCCTTGGGCCTTAAATGCCACGTCAGTGCCTGGGTACTGACAACCAGAGGAAACATATTATGTGCTGAAGTGACCCTCAGCATTACAGTATGGGCAGAAGCTTAAAAGGAACTCAAAACCTCAACTCCTGAAGAAATAGAACTTCTGGAAATTTCTTTTGTGGGTGTCCTTCCACACCACATTTGCCCAGTGCTAATGCTTTGTGAGATCAAGAACTTCAGCTTGATTGATAAAGTGGGCAAATCTCCTGACTCCAGCCTGGCCTGAAGCTCTTCACAAAGCAAGCACCAATCCCGTCAGAGTCTCTGTACCCCATTGTCCCAGGGCCCAAGTATTAAAGCTGTCATTGAAGGTGTGCTGTTCTCTAACAAAATGGGCACAACTGTCACATTTAGGTAATTGGTAAACAAGTTGGTTACTGGACAGTCAGGGATAGGGGCCTTTCCAGTCTTAGTTTCTCCTCCTCCCAAGAATATTTCGGTTTTCAGTGCACAGAACACTGCATCACACAGTGCCCAGGTTCCTCTGGACACTCCCTCCTTACCTCAGTGGCATCTGCTTTAACAGGCTGGTTGGGTATTGGATGTACAAGTTGGAAGGGTTTGTAGGAGGGGAACAACAGATGCCTGACTGGTTTATTTTATTGCTGCCAGCTATACTGGGAGGAGGGAAGAGCAACTGACTTCCTGTTTGATTAGAAAGCACTCAGGTGGCTTCAGTGCCTCAATCTTCCACTGCATGGCTGTAAAACCCAAGGTGGAACTCCCAGGAGGGCCAGGCTCAACTCCTCAGCTGGAGCCCAGCTTTGTCCAGTAGCCAGACACAGGACAGGATGTACAGGACTCCCACAGCTGCAGATGCACAAACACTGGGGAGCTGAATACTTGAAGCCTCATGTCAGGGCAGTCAGACATCAAACAGAGGTCTATCTTTATCCCTTCCTGTCATGGTTTAACTTGCATCACTTCTGATTAAACTCCATCCAAGCAGAAGTGAACATTTTCATCTGCTTAAAAAATCCCCCCAACATCTTCCACCAACCTCATCTGTGGACTGTCACTGGCTGTTACAAACACCTTCCAGAGGCACCATCTTTGTGCAGTAAGACTACACTAAAACAAAAGCTCTCTCCTAATAACCAAAGCCATCTTCAGGTCTCCTGAGGTTGAGGGCCATGTAAGGATCAGCTTGAATCACTTTTGACACAGAGATGGATGACCTACCTGTTTGCTAGAAATAAGGCTCCCCCTTCTGTAATACATAATAAAAAATAAAAAGCAAACAGGGCACTTGGGAACACTGCTGCATTAACCACTGGGACCTCACTGAAAATTCCTGCTGACACAAGAAAGGGAAGAAAACCCCTGCTCCAGAACAGCTGTAATTCTGACAGTGCCTCCTGCTGAGCGACTGGGAACACAGGCACGGGTGAGTGTACTTTAACTTCCTTTTAGAAGAAGGGTGATCAGCTCACAGACACGCTCACTGTGACAAAGACATCTGTAAGGAGGGAGGAGAGAGCTTTAGTGGCTCTGCCATACGGGGAGCACAGGGAGAGTGCGGGTTCCTGGCCAGGGAGAGGCTGGCTTGCAGGAGGAGATCTTCGTGGGGAAGTCAGAGCAGCAGCACAGGATGACAGCCCTTGCTGGAAGTAATCCTCAAGGTCCAAATCCTACCCGTCTGTGCTCTCACTGGCTCAGCTGGCCAGCAACCCCTTCTGGCAGCCGGGGGCTGTGAGAGGATTATCCACCGGGACAAATAGTTATTTCTGTCAAACTGATGGACACCAAGGCAGATCCTGCAAGAGAGAGGCATCCCAGCTCTCACAAATACACTCCTGCCTGGTGGGGGTTGCTGAGGTTTCCAGCAATCTCTGTTTAGATGTTTGTTTGCTTTCTGTGCACATTTATTTAGTATTCTGTATTTCATAGCTGTGTATGAGGGCAATTAAGTATCTCTTATCCTCCTGCCTTAGGTGAGTTCCACTATACTAGAGACTTTCAAAGGTAGAAATTCCAAACCTGAGTGTTCCAAAAACTTTCAAAATGAGAGGTGTAAATCGCATAATTAAAATTTGATTACCTTTACAAGGTGTTGAATATGCTCATGTAGCCTGTAAAGGAATGCACCTTTACAGCAGGATCAGGTACTTCTTTTATGATTTATTTTCCTTTAAACCCCTAAATTTTCCTTACAATATCAAATGAGTTTTCCAAGAAAAACAGGCTCTCAACACACCAGAATGTAGCTGAATTTAAAGACTTTTTTTTGTCTTTCTGCTGTCTTTTCCCCCATACAACAAACATATAACACTAGAAATAAAAACTACAGTGGAAGTAATCTGACTTTTAAAAACAAATCCTATCAAGGCTCAGGGCTTGTTAGGTTTGTTGAGTAGGGTCAGCTAGATTCAAGTAAATGATGCAATTTTAAATTCTTTAAACTTTAAAAGTTTAGTAACTCTTGCAAGGCAGTAGGAACACCTATAGCTATGTTGCACTACTGTAACACGGACAGCACTGCTCCAAATACAAATATCTAGATAATGTTTCTTTCAATGTGACACTAACTGTTATGATTTATTACAAAACCAGTTGCAGCCTTTCTGAAGAGATAGGGATGATTCAAGCTTCCTCAGACAGAAAATACTGGAAGCAACAAAACTAAGCATTCCAAATCAAAAGGCAAACACCTAGTGACAATCCAGACAAAAAGTACCTGGGTTAAATCTGAGATCTTCCAGAAGTTCTCACGTAGCTAAGAGTTGTACATCCCCCTTTCCCTTCAACTTACATATTTAGATTTTTTTTTTTAAATTAGTTTAGGTAAACTTGTCTTTGCTATTGAGTGCTTGTCCTTAAATTTTTAAATGCTTAAAGAGAAAAAATCAAAGCACAAAAAACTTCAACAGTTTCAAACCCAAAAATGTTTCAAACACTTCCTTCTTCCTTTTGTCTTTAAGTGTTTGCCAGATTCAACTCACATCTGCAAATAGTTTTAGTCGTGCTCTCCTTTCTTCTCCCCCCCACTCTATATATAGGATATAGAAAAAAAATACCTACTTCTGCTCATTTCTCTTTATCCTTCCAGGTTTTTACTTCATTCCATCTGTGTCCTGTTTGAGATCTGCATCCCATTTTTTCCCCTGAAATATGCAACTGCAGTTACTAGATGCTTATGTTCCAAGATACAAAGCACATTTAGGTTAGCGTATTTCACATCATCTTTAAAAGATTTGGTAATGGTTGATTGCTTCCACCTCCCCCCCTCCCACCAAAAGAACTTCCAAAAACTTGGTTAATAATAAAGGACAACTGTTGGACAGTACAGTAAAATGTGGAATGTGAGGTCACTTTCACCTTTGATCAACATTACTATGCAGTTGTTTCGTTTCAGTATTTCTATACTAACTACAGGCATCTTTCTGCAAAGAGCTTCCATTTATGGTGAACTGTTCTTCAGTTTCCTTAGAACAATTGTCTGATATTCCAAGCAGGTCGTTTGGGCTGAATTCCAGTTCCCAGAAAACCACCATTGCTTTAAATATCTGCACATAGATTTTTAGGGCTCATTCTGTAATAATTTTTTTTATCATTCTTCTTTTCTGAGTGTTCTCAACTTAAAAAGTATCCTCTGGAGCACAATTAACTTGTACTGAACATAAAGAAGGCAGCTTTTGCCAGTCAAGTATTGATAGAAATTTAATATTTGAATTATTTTTTCCTCTTTTGTATGATTTTTGTACTTCTGCCCAACTCCATAAAAACACAATCACTTCCAGATAAAATAGATTATCAATAACAAAATCCCTGTGGACCATGTAAAGGCTGTTCACGTTACCAAGAGTGCTTTTCTTAAAGCAGAAATTTTAATTTATTTTGGGAACAACCACCTCCTTAACCTCTCTTATAGAGAGAACACTATGGTTGCCCTAAAATTTGCCAGTAGTTACTACATGCTGATAACCTTACACTGTCATAAGCCACCAAGTTTGTCTACTAGAACAGGAAGTGCTGTAAAACCGAACACATGGACATGATTAGGGGCTTAACAAAGTATGGATTTTATTCTCCTAGGTTAAACATTTACCGACTTCTACAGATAAAAAGCCTACAAAAATAGCATGATTTAAGTACTTTCAAGTTCTAAGCCAATTCATGTTCTGTTTACTGCTAGGTGTGCTACAAGACTAAATTTCCTACACTGAATGTCCTTTGTTACCATGTTAAGCAAACTCCAGCTATCCCGGCCAAACTCACAAGTCTGGAAGTTAGAAAGCATTGCAATTTGCTTTGTGACTGAGTAAATAGACTAATTCAATGTTGAGTTTGATGATCTGATAGTTTTACTGAAAACCTCATTCTGTGCTTGTTAGTTCTCTTCCTTTTCTGAAAAAAAAGTGAAAGAAGGAAAAAGAAGAAACCCAGCCCCACAGTCTTCTCCCTTATTTCCAAACATTTACTGGCCAGAGAACAATGGCCAAAATAAAAAAAGCCAGAACAGCCCATAGGAAGCCACCATTTCCTAGGGACCACTGGAAGAACATTCAGAACTGCTGGAGAAGCAGTGCTGTGATTAGTGCTTAGGCAAGATTGATTGTACATTCACCATCTCACATTTGGGTGCATGAATCACAGAATATCTTGAGTTGAAAGAGACCCATTGGGATCATCAAAGCTCAATTAGTGGCTCTGCACAGGACAATCCCAAGAGTCTCACCATAAGTGGTCATTGAAAAGAAAAAAAAAAAAAAAAAAAAAAATCATGAAGTGATAGAAGAACTTTAGTCTGACAAATGGCAGCAAAACTGCTACGCAATTATCAATATCAAGTAACTGTTTAAACATTAATGATGTTGAAGAACATTTCCCTTTTCTCTGAAAAAGCAACTCGAAAATCTTTAGATAAGAAGCTAAGAACTGTCATTGAGAATAACTTCTGCTTTTGTATTGTCACTTCAAAACACTTCTTTTCATTTAGTTTTGATTTAAATGAGAGTCAGGTTCAGCTACCTTTCCAACTGCATGAATTTTTATTTTATTTTTTATAAGGTAATGCTGTGTTTAAAAGAACCACAGCAACAAAATCCAGCAGTTGAAATCAGACTGCTGGCAGATTTCTCTGTTAAAGCTGCAGAATATTCCCCTCAGACTTTCTTTTCTTTTGACACAGTACCTGTGTTCGCAGAAACTGCACCTCTTCTGTAAGCAGGTGCTTCTCTTTGAAGAGCTGATTCTGTTTGTTGAGCAACTCCACTAACTGCTGGGCAGTGGCCTGGCAGTGCTTGTCAAGCTGCTGTAACCTGGAAAAGAAATAGATAAAAAGGTTGCAGAGCATCTGAAGTTGGAGTTCACGGAAGAAGCTTTGATCTTTGCACTGGTGGTGGCAGCGCCCAGCGTTGAGGCTGGTGGTTGGGCTGAGACTAAAGTATTACTCCGAGGATGGGCATTAAATGTATTTTCACACTTTAAATTAGCACTTTAAAGGTTTGCACTTTTAATTTAGAAGCTTTATGAGGACATGACAGCAAATCTGCTTTGCTGTGACATCAGTAAGGACTGGGGGAGTGCATCCCAACACCTGTAGCTAAGAAAGCTGCACACTGTAGCTGCTTCAGTAACTGTCTTGAAACACACTCAGTAGCCCAGTTTATGAAACCAAATACCCAAATTCCCTGACAAACTGGACTTGAAGTGACAAAAACTTCTGTTTTCTGTCCACTTCTCTTTGCAAGCTGGTCAGTGTCCAAAACTCATTACAGAACATAGCACTTATTTCAAGTAAGCTTAGTGTTAATTAAGCATGTCAGCATAGATCCTTTAACAGTCTAACAGGGATTCCTGGGAAAAGATGTAAAGAGCCCATCATTCCAAAGGCCCTCCACATCAGGGGCTGCAAAACAGAGGGAAAAAGCTGGCAGGTATCAGAAGAAACATGCAGAGGCTTTCTGCTTACAAGTGCCCGAGTTGGGACACAGTGCTGTTAAGACAGATCAACTGCACATTCATTTCTTTAACCACAAAAGCAGGTATCACTTATTATTTCCCCACTGTTTATTACTCCTGGCATCCAGTCAGAAGTAATTTCCAACTAATGTGAATTTTACATCAGAACAATATTTTTCAGTAGATAATCACAGGTAGCCCATGCAAATTTCAAAAATATTAGTGGACACAAGCCCTAGGGTGCTCTATTGTGAAGCTCTATGTAATTTCAAATAAACTGCTGTAAATGGAAAAGTCTTTAATTATGGAAATAATCAATTACACTTTTCCGCTTGTAACTTCACCCCCCAGTGTTAGATTTAGACTGTCTCCTTGAGCAGAGGGAGAAGGATGACAAATGCACTGAGCTGGGTTTGACCAGCTTTATCATCTGTATGTCCAGTGCTTGACTACAGCTTTAATAACATATTGATCTAAGCCACAACTTTACCTTTATCATTTGTATGTCCAGTGCTTGACTACAGCTTTAATAACATATTGATCTACAGCTCTGGGCTACCATGGATGAAGAAGGTGCAGTTCTAGTCAGCACATATCTGGATCTGTGAATTCCCAAATTCTGTCTGCCAGTCTGCTCTCCCAAAACTGCTGCCAAGCTGGCCCTTGGTCCACACACTGGGACTCCCAGCCTGCTCTGCTGCATTTAGCTCCTGAGGACAGGCTCTGGGCCCTCTCACAGTATCTGCTATTATGTGTGACATGTGCAGCACAGCCACACATTCCCATATGCATTGTATCTGGCCTGCCTGCTGATCTCGTAAATGATTCAAGATGAGAAATGAACAGCTCCACCCACATTCACTGTACTTCCCATATGTTACAACTGCACATCGATGCCTGCCATCATTTTTACAACTGGGTGACAGAACCTTCTGCACATTTTGCTAATATGAGTGAGGGAGGTTGCATGGTCGCCACGTTCACTTTGGCAACAGCACCTACCAGGCAAATGTACTGTGTCCTGAGCATCTGAGTGACCACTGTGTCCCTCCTGTCTAAATGAGATAATTTTTCCACCAAAGTGGCAAGATCTGTCCAGTTGGGCTGGCGTGCAGCTGCTCCCCCTTGGCCTGGCCGTGTTGGAGGACAGGGACTGACTCCATGCTCTGTCACGTTACTTCAAGGCACAAGGTGAAAATGTAGCTCTTGAACCATGTTACCATGTTTGGACTACCCACAGGACAGCCTGGCACTACGGAGAAAGCTCCCAGTCAGTAGTAATAACAATACCCTTCAAATAATTTCCAATTAACCATTTCAAACCAAAATTCCTATTTCTATATGGTGGCAAGAAAGAGACAGTTCCATGAGACGAGTGGTTCCACAGAAAGAGAACACAACCGTGGCATCACAAGCTGCAGTGAAAGCTTCAAGGTAAACGTTTTGCTCTGATTCTCAGTACTTGGAACTCATAGGCAGCTTTAGGTTAGAATGGCTCCAACCTACCTTGTTTTTTGTGCAATTACAACATGCAGAAGACTTCACATGGAAGTGAAATTTGGATCTGAGACTAAGCTACACCCTAGGCTGTCCAGAAATGAAGTGAAAAGTGATAGATAGGGTTTTGTTACATTTTGACAGCTATGGCTAGACAATCGCTGCAAGACCCTGCAGAAATGAGGTGAAACATCAAACACAAAGCAGAGCTTTGGCACCAAGGTGAATTCCACCTGCAGAATAAACTTCCATTGCATCCAACACCACAAAGCTATACTAGCACCCACCATGTTACACTTCCCTTTATGTGTGGCCTACAGCTAAAAGCAAAAGCTGCTTTATTTTCTATAACAGCACATAGCTAAACTGGGGGCACCCGCAGGACTCAGGCTGCAAGCTCCCTGCCCTGGGAGACACAGACCCATTAATCCACAGGCAATCCACAATGAAGGTAAAAGCTGACATAACCTGTCAGCCCTCCTCTGGGTTTTAATGTTGATTTGAAGGAAATTAATATGCAAGGATCTGTGGGCAGTGCCCATTCACCCTGCAGTGGGTATCAGTCAGTCCTTGACATAGTAGAGGCATTAAAAGGTTATTTACTCTTTCAGCATAGTCAGGTTACTGATGTAAAACGTTTTCACTTTACTCCACGGAGCTGGATTTGCTGAAATGGCATGACTGAATTGCAGCAACCTGCAGCAGCTAAATCACCAAATCCAATAATCATGCTGCATTTACTGGCACACATCTTAATTAGGTTTTAATACAAGTAATCTGATAACTACTTCTGGCCAGCCAGAGCGGAGCTGTCAGTGCTGAAAGGGCTGTTGTTGAGCAGCTCGGCCAGCGCGCTGCCGCGGCTGCTTCCCCGCTGCCCCTGCTGAAGCCCCCCATCTGCCAGTTGCCATGGTAACACAGGCCAGCCCATCATCCCAGCAGTGGGTGCTGCAACCCTCAGGCACCCCATGGTAAGGGCTGGGGCATCAGCCACTCAGGGGCCACCAGCCACACAGGGGGGCCACCAGCACCAGGGCCACACCTCTGTGGGTGAGCTGGTCCTGGCTCCTGCTGCCCCCCAAAGAGACCAAAACCCAACATCATGAGCATATGTCACTATGCAGCAAACTGCCTTTAAAATGCATTTGTCCTAGCAGGGCAAGAGTGTCAAGCTATGAGTTTCTAAGGTTGCTCCTGCATTGCTCCTATTCCTGATGATCAGGGGTAGTTCCTGGTTCAGAGTAGGAAAACCAAAGACCACGTTGGAGACCTCTGCCATGCTGCAGAGATGCAACTGAATGGCGATCACTATGGTGAGTCTATGAATTCAGAAAGGCAAACAAATGGTAAATTAAACCCTGATGTTTCACTAGTGTCCTAAATGACTGTCTTGACCCATAGATCACTGTCTTGAAACAACCTTAAGTGATGAGCATCTCAGAGAAGCCTCCACATACTCCCAAAATTTAAACAGGAATATCTGTACACACAACCTATTCTTTAACTGAACTGCATTCTCCCATCTGGCTTCAAAATCAAAATACTATGATGCACCTTTTCCATGTTAATAAAAAATTAAAAAAAAACATAAGAGGAGAAACACACAGGCCAAAAAGCCACCCTGTAACAACAGTGAGTAGGAACTAAAGGTAGTGAATAAGCCTCCTCCTTTTTGTCACACTGGAAGTCCTGATTTCTAACAGGACACAGGGAGGCAGTTCAGGGCATATTAAAAAAGTTGCCATGGAATTTCCCACCCTCTGGAATCCCTATCAGACTTCTGTTGCCACAAAAAGGACAAGACTGTAATTTGCTCAGGCAGAGCAGATCTATACCACTTCTAGATAAGCACTTGCCCATGCTACAGGCAGAACCAACTGATGTTAACAGATGGTAACTAGAAGTTAATATCCCTTGCACAGTTTGGAATTGGACACCTAAGAAGCAAATGTCCACATTTCACTATGAACTCTTTGACCCAGATGGCTTTGCATTACTCAATCTTCTTTTTTAAATTTATTTTTTATATCTATTGGGTAACATTTAAATTCCCTTTTACTAAAGACAGTTTTTCCACATACTTTTGAAGTATTTATAGCATATAATTTCTAATAAGAAAACAATGTTTGCATGCCATAACACTTGCAAATAGGGTTTAATTAAAAGTTTACATAGGAGCTTCCCCTTTGTTTCAGATGTCACCACTGACTATTAGAATATGTCCTCACTTCCACAGCTGGCCCACCAGGTTAAACAAATAGATCACGTAGGAAACCTGAGCCTGGATCTATTCCTGGGCTTCTAATAGCTCATGTCTAACATGCTGAAGAGAACATTATCAGCCTGGTCTTCAGTAGGGGGTTGTAGCAGCTGGGCTTTGCTGCTGTGATGACCACTTTTGGCCCTACTGGGTTTTGACAGGAAGGAAGCAATGAAAGAGAGTGTACAGCAGGCTGGAAAAGATATGGGTGAAAGCTTCACTAATGTCTATTTGTGTCCAAATCCCCTGGCTGAAGATGAGGCTTTTCCTCCTTTAAAGGAATACAAAGTGGTAAGACCTTTGATAGGAATATGAACTCTGGATCAGATTTGCTCTAGAGAAGAAATAGTTCGGGTTACTATTTTATGCTTTTAGTTGACATATATAAAGTAAAACAATTCTCTAGATCATCCAGGCTAGTAATTTAGAATGCTGTAAAATACCATAGGGAGAAAAAAAAAAAAAAAGAAAAAAAAAGAGGCAGGGCTCAAAGCAGACAATATTACAGGAATATATTGAATTGTATAGGCAGACTCTACATTTTTTTGGTTTTTTTTTAAAGATGTTCACCTCTCTGATTTTGTTATGTGCCAGACAGAA